GTGGTGGTGGTGGTAGGATTTGAGCACACGTTCTCCGAGGTGATAGTTGAGTGACGTTACCACTGGGCAACCATCCCCTGACTGAAAATAAAATAAATATGAACGTATTTCCTTTCAGTTCGTGTAGTTAATGGGCTAATGTCACCTTCGAAAAAAAGTTCATGTGTTATGATTCCAGAAGGCGATGTTGGTCGAGGATAGTTGTTTAGTGAGAATAACAGACGGGAAATAACACAGAAAATTTCATCAAAAACACGCAATCGTGGTTCCTGGCAGCACGACGGGTAATGAACATAGCAATCGATAGTTATTCTCTGAGATATAGCAAGTCCACCTTGGTGGTTTTCTTACTTGTTGATCGTCGAAACTAAACACCAAGTATGTTACCTACTACTCAAAAGTGAGTAGTATCTCAAAACACATGGAATCCAACCCCGCAACTGGACCAAACTCCTGTCAAAGTCACATCCATTTTGGCGTGTCTTGATTTCGAGTCTATTCATTTGAATCAGGTTTGCCGTTTCTGTTTCACTTCGTCGTGAAAATGATTCACATGTCTCATTTTATCATATTTGATGATTTGGAGCTGGTGTTCCACCCTGAAATATTCAGGATTAGCTTATGCTACGAACAGAAATCCAAAACAGTTCACTTTGACGAATCAATTCTACCCGTTCTAGTTTGAATACCAAAAATTCTTAGGATGTAGATGTGAACTGCTGGGCCCCGTAACTACAGGTGTTGACCAAACTCGTGTAACATCCTGATTTTCATCACATTTGTTCCTCTCTATGCTTCGGTTTTCCAGCCTCATTCATGGGATTGAATATGATATTGCCACACATCAGACGCAACATATCTGATATAAAACACACTTATTTCTTTGCTTCTATTAGCCACATGCCATTAAAATGTACGATTTCTCGAATTTGGCGATGATTGCCGGTGCATCAGTTATGAAATAACAAAATCACCGTAGAAAACGTAACTAGAATTTATTTTATTTATTTACTTATTTATTCGTATAGGTATTGCACTTTTATCTGGTCTGTGTTCCATTTTTCCTTCTTCGTTTTTGAGCACTGTAGACAGTTACTTTAGTATGAAGTCCACCAAGTTGACTGCCAAACAGAATTTTCCAGTTTCTTCTAATACACTCCGCACTCCAACCACTGACGATGAATGTCGAGGTAGCTGACTTATCCCTGTTTCTGATACGGGGAAAAGTATTCGAATGAATAAAAGTCCCAGCGGCTGCGAGGTATTTGCATGAATTTGAATTACCGTGTCGCGATAAAAATTACAGCTCAGGCTCAGAAAATATTTTATGCAAAACATCATGGGAATTTATTCTGACTAATAAATAATTCCTGTTTCATGAGAGCGTTTACTAGGTTAAACATACGTATTCTAAATTGCTTATCTCTTTCCATTCAGTACATAGTAAATAAATCGATAATTGAAAATATTTTCGCTTAAATAAATTGAAAAAAATGATTTGGCTCCAAACTACTTACGCAATTAGTCCCAATCCTGAAAGGGTTAAAATATGTTCCAATAAACATAAAATTTGACCTTCAAAAGTTGAACTCGAGGTGTGCTCCTGGTTGAATAAGTGTCGTATAGTCTCACCATAACCAAACCGGATGAAACATTCAAGATGTTTCGGTGTATAGTTCTAACCGTGGGTAATTTAATTCATGAGGCACATAAATCCGATGACTCAGTTCCTGATTGGAGCAAGTTGTCCGCTGAAAATAAGGCATAATTTTCGTCAAATCATTCATTACAGTTGCAATTGACTCAATTCTGTGTAACATTTGACTGACCATACATTTAAACTGGGAACTCATTCTTCACCGTGTACAGATTCCAATGGTTGAATTCAAAGTTCCTTATGCAATTCAAGCTTGTTCTGTTAGGTTCGCGGATTGCCAGATCTTTTCATGCACCCTGAAGAATTCGACGATCAAGCTACTTGTAACAGTTGATTTATTTCCGTCCAAACGAAATTACTCAAAACAAATTACATATTATCAATGATAACAGACTTTGGATGTTTCAAATTCCAGAATATGCCCATTTTGACATGAGAACACACATTCAGAGGCAAATAATTGTTTTCATTGATTCATCTTTCAGCCTGTACAGATCAAATGAGAAAATGACATGTTGAACCGGAATAGTCATTCAGTCATTAAAAAGTCACGGTGATTGATTGAAACAGAAAGAAATGGGAGCGGGGTGCGACGTGTTTCACGCCCCTAGATCACCACAACACTGCAATCAAACTGTGATGCGTCATCCGTGCGATCGATCTTCGGCCACGGCAATTGAATTGGCCCATAGCTTGTTGGGTGACAATACACAGACAGTACAACACGCTTCAAATTACGCGATGATTGGGGTATCCAGATATGGTGTGCCTTGCTCCATCTAAGACAAAAGTGCTTGTACAAGACTGGCAGGAGCCTGTGTCTGCATTCACCCTTTCCGCTGATCAGATAGAAGTTATCGAGAGTTTGAAGTATCTCGGGAGCTTAATCACAGCCAGAGGTGGTGTTTGGGAGGTGGTCACATAAAGAATAGAGAAAGCTAGAGTAGCTTCTGCCTACCTGCGACGACGCCTGAGATCCCGGCATGACATTCGATTCTGCCTTGAGGGAAGGGCGTACATCACCGCGGTTTGCTCTGCGGTTGCAAGACGTGGCTTCTACACATTGACGATGCCAATCAAATCTCGTAATCCCATCACCGAGTAGTCTGTTGGGAACATCGTGTGAACAATGAAGAAAGTTGTTGTCATAATGCCGGGTACTGATAGTCGCGCTCTAACAGAATTAATGGTTCTACACCACCTCCAATAGATCATTCATGCTTTGGGTATGCATCCAGAGCATCTACCTCTCCGTGCTTTCCTTGCACGTGATGAGCAGGGCTTGAAGAAGCGCTGCGGCGGTCAGATCATGACCTGGTGTAGACGTTTTTCTCAGCATTGGCTTCTGTTTAGGCAGTTCGTCTTCCAGGCTGGGGCTGGAGGGATGGGCATTTTCGACGGTTAGAGACGTTGAAACATGCGGCTCAGAATAGAAGTCAGTGGCGCGACTGTTGTGCGGTTCGTGTGTCGAAATCCCATAATCAATAAAAAGCTCAAAATTTGTACGATGGAACTAACAGAAATTCTGTTTATTCATTCATTCATTCGTTCTCCCTGTTCCCTGTTTACTCCCTGTTCCTTTCATCAATCGTACTGGTTGTTGCTCTCTTTTAGCATTGTTGTTGCGTTGGAATCCTACTTGGCCTCAAGTGCGTGACATATTTATATCACTAGTATAGTGCGTATTATGAATGATGTCGATCAATGTATACTCGATAATTCCAGATATTTGAAATATCACAAAAAGATTTATTCATCTTAGAATTTTTTTTCTCCTAATCAAAATCGAAAGTATGTTGTATTTTTGGCGCCGTCCTCGAAACGGACAGTTCACGGTTATCAAACAAAACTCGCGGCTCCGTGTCCAGTAAAATTTTGATCGGTCTCACGAGTGCATACAAATGAACCAGTGGCGCCGCACCGCCTCTCTCCCCCCTCCCCCCATGCCCCACGTCCTCCCCCGCTTCCGTGCCAAACACGATTGCTTCGGGGTTTGTCTTCAAAGGCATTTTGGACTGAACAATCTGTGTGCTTTGTCATCATGTGAGCGGATCCGCAAGGGAGATAGTGAACCGGTCTGCCTGTGATCATCTATGCTCACACGAGCAGGTAAAAATCGGCGCATGATATGTTTTGAGGGAACGTGAAAAAGCTCAACTTATTCCTCCGGACCAATCAATTCCAGAAATGAGTTGATGAGGAAAATCGATCGGGATTGAGTGTGGAACGGTCACGCTACTTATTTGATTCCATTGAGGAACAGAGAGAAAGAAACACGAAATAGTTAAAACGACACGTTTCAAATTTCGGATGTATTTTTTAGCATAGCAAGTGCATGAGAACATGGGGAACGCAATTAAATATGCACGTTGATACATCTATCGCAAAAATTGAATCGATAACTGTATGTAGTTGCGCTGATTGACTTGTGCTAGCGCGCGGGTCACGTGCATCGAAAAGTCCCGTTCATTGCCCCCACCCCCACCCCCAAAGCACCTGTTACAACTCCGTACTATATTCCTACTCGCACTCGCCCATTGGCCAATTGATTGTTCGCCTGTGGCATACGTATTAGTTTCAGCACGCCTGATCACGTGTCGTTGAGAGAGTATTACTCAGTCCGTCAAATAGTGGACCATTTGTTCATGAGATATCCACTACCCGCCCCATGTTTGATTGACAAAGCATCCATTGGTAAATGATGAACCCCACATTGATAGTGAAAAAAACGATTTCAAATATCTTACTGCAAATTTCACTCACAATCACTTGAGTTAAAGCAAAGTAATCGATCAATTTCTAAACCTATTTGGTTTGTTTGTTCGATGTGGAAAAACCAATGCTCTGAGGACTCGTGTGAACAAACCGTGAGAAATTAGTGCTGCATTCTTTCAACCGCCCGAATATCTTCGCTATGTTCACCATTCCGGTGCGTTATTCAATCAAGAAACTGAATGCTCATCACCCTGTGGGTTGGAAATTTCTGAATCTGGCACATGGGTCCACAGACGTTGAATGCATTGAATTGTGTGGTGTTCGTGACAGTGATGATGATGATGATGATGATGATGATGATGATGATGATGATGATGGTGGTGATGATGATGATGATGATGATGAAAGACAACACGTTTGTTTGATTCGGACAGGGTTAGGTTTCCGAGATTGGGTGTCCAAATTGGACATTTTGATTTTCACGTGGTTTATAGCTGACCAGGTTCGCCCTTACCCTCTTCAATTGAAAAATGATATTGAACTCTGTTACCACATTACTACTATCATCACACCGGATGTTAGTTTGTTAGCTGAATTGTTATCATCATTGTTCTGCTGAAGTGTTACGTTTGGTACACCACAGAGATAACCACTTACATATATATTGCATAATAGATAGAATGAGGAAATGAGAGGGACACCAGGTCACTTTGGTCTCCAAATTACTCGGAACAAATATCCGCAAATGGGTTTGTGAATTCCGTTTTCCCCAAGAAAACACTGATATGGTGGAGGAATTGACAAAAGGCATAAAAGTTGAGTATTGTCTTGATTGGTCCGCTCACCGTTTAAAAATTCCTTGCTAGGGACATCCAATCATAAGACTGTAAATCAAACTTATTTGGATTACAACTCGGAATCACGGAATTTCAAATTCAGCCCGTTGGCCCAGAACACTTATTTTGCACAGAAGTCGCATACTGCGATGTAGTGTCCATACGCTGGTGTCCCATTTTCTCACCTTGTTCCCAAAAGGCGGGATAACTCCATCTCACCCCCTACACAGCTTGAAGAAGCAATTACTATGCAACTTATTGATGTGAATTAGTAACACTTTGTAATGAAAAATCGCTTCTAAGGTTCTGCTCTGTTGCTTTTTGTGTGAGGTACCAGATATCAGGGGTGTGCTTTATTTTCCTAGAAGTCCTTAAACGCAACCCCAACTTTTGAACAGTTTGAACGGTATGATATATCTTTCAAGTACTTTGATCAATAAGCCCACCGTTATTTTTCCCACAAAAAGGTGAATTACCTGCTGCTTAAACAGAGCTGTTTGATTCCATTGGGAAAATGAGTTGGTTGAAATGAGCATATAGAACTAAACGTAAAGGAAGGCACCGGGATAGTGGTTCAGGAAATGCAAAATGAACTGATACAAAATATGTTTACTAGAATGGGAAATCTATAAATGTGAATTGATTCCCAGTTTAAATTGCAAACAATGCTGTGTTTAACTAATGAAAGAATTTAAATTATTATTATTACTCATTATTATTATTATTATTATTAACTCATTATTTATGGTTTAAAATTGTCATACTACCCGTAAACAGCCCGTTTCGAGATATCTAGTTTAATCACAATTGACCTAAATACCTAATACTTTTCGATAGTGGTAGATTGCAAACAAAAATAGCCAGTACATGAAAGAGGAACTAACTGTCAGCTACATACCATTCCGTGACTAGTTTAATTTATATCCAAATAACCAAGTCTTTCTCACAGTCAACATAGTTTTCCACTTTCTGTGTGCAGCGTTATATTGCATTATCAGTGCTAATTTTGATCGATTGAGACACAATACTGGGAGTTGTTACTGATGTGATTTTTGATCGAGACGGTTCCACATTTATCATGGACCATCTATTGACAGACTGATCAGGAAGCTCCAAAACGTCGTCGAACGTCGAACGAGGATGGACAAAGTTGGGATAGACTACTTGAGGGTTTGAGATACGGGAAATGATATCACTTTGGCTCTCTGGAAAAACACTTCAATTGTGATGGGCTGCAATTCCTGTCTAACATGTTCATTCTTTTAAAATGCATTGAATATAAGACCAATACCCCGGAGTTTGTTCATACCTGTTTCATTTTTAAGCATATGTATTTGGTGTCATCATCACTGCCTGCCGTAAATTCGACCGAGCCCGGATGATTAATGTTCGTTATGTGGACTGGATCTTTGATACGTCTGCTCCACTCTTTTCTTTCTTCGTTGCGGTCAAAGAAAGCATCGTTTTTTCGAGATATTTGTTCCCAATGAGAATAAATGCATGTGTATTGGTTTATCAAATTTTCATCACCCATCATCCATAAGTCAATAACGTTTTTAACCAGACCAATCTAATTTTGAAATTCATGGTAAATCCTGAGTTGTATAAAGTTTAAAGTTCCCATGCTTTTGAGCACATACAGTAGGACTGAGCTAGTCAATCTATAACGATTGAAACATTTCCGGGTGAATCATGCTGTCCCGTGTCTCGTTATTCCTGTTCTTGTTTTTGTTTTTGTTCGATCCCGAAATGTTTCGTCACTCAGTTTTCCACATCGTCAGTTGGACTTCTTACAAGTTCAGCCTGTTTACAATGATACGTAAACGACCGTAGATAGTTCTCTCACTGATGCTCGTCAACGTTAGTACACGTCAATTAAAGTGAAGCTAATTCACGATGTAGACCTCAACTAAAAATCGTGATTGAAATAACTTGGTCCTAGTTGTTAATGCTATTTGATGTGACTGCACTGATTGCCTAAGGGTAATAAACTTCCTGCATGTGAATGGTTTTCTCTATGGATTATTCGGTAGAACCTGGATTTCACTGTTTCCTTGAGCAAGATGGGTTCATTCTAAATGTTTGATCAACTCACTTCTATTTTATCCTTTTGGACGAACTTTTCCCCATTGGTATAATTCTACCTCAACGAATAACTCATGCTTGTGGTGTGGCAGAGGATGGTGTCCCCAAAACCTGTAGGCCCTTTTCGTATTCAAAGTCTACCACCTACAACAGAACAGGATAGAAGCGACAGCTTCAGCTGATGGTGATCCAACTTCGTGCATGACACCACGCTTCCCAGGTGCCATTGTACCTACTGGTTTCAGAGACGCGAATTCACCACTTCTTTGAGCATCTCCACTGATCTTCTACGACCGTTTACTCAATGAGGTCATGCCATTCATCCATGATTAACTCCTTTAGTAGCATCTTCTACTATCCCTTTGCTGGTCCCACTTTTTTTTTATCAGCCTACATTAGACCCCACACATAGTATGTCATTCAAGCGTGAAATCTATCCCAGAAACGAGATCGTAAAACTCCGGAACGTCCACAAAGAATGCTCACCA